GACAGAGACAGAGACAGAGACAGAGAGACAGAGAGAGAGACAGAGAGAGAGAGGCCTGAAGCTACCTGTCAGAGGTAGCTTCTCCAGTACCCTCAAATGAGAACACATAAGGGAGAGTAAAGGCAGGGATCAAGGAGAGAAGTAGGAAGATGTTGCCTGGTTCCTGTCCCCCAGTGACTGGAGTCACTGTCATCCCCCTGGATGGCTCTGTGGAAGCACCCATCCTTTGTCTCCAGTCTCCTTCCTCAGGACCTCTTTGCTAGGAACACTCATTCCATTGCAAAGCTTACACTTCAGACACTCTCACAGGCATGTCCAGCATGCAGACCTTTGATTCTGGTGGAGAATCCTCTACTCTCTGAGTGGTGACTAGTCTATGAGAATGTTTGGGAAGGGGGAACAAATTATTATCATTTTTTAAATATGCTCTATAAGGGCTGTTAACAATCATCTTGCATTTACCTAAGTGAGTGTGGTATTAGGACCAGGTAAAGGGAAGGATGGACTTTTTTGGAGTATAGAAAAGGTCTTGAATGTTGATCCTCAAGTAGGGAGAAAATGTTTATTGTTTCTTTATATGATAAAGAGGTGATTTAATTTCTTTTCTTTTCTTTTTATTTAGTATAGGGTCTACAGGGTCTAGGTAGATCACACTAGTAGTGACCAAGTGCTGGGATTATAAGTGCATGCCACCAGGCCCGGTCTCAATCATTATCTCAGTGCTCCCTGGGGACAGGGCCAACACAGCAGGCCTGGGGATGGAACCCCCAGTGCCCGCATCTGCCTAAGCAGGCTCTTTAACCCACTGAGCTATTTGGTGGCCCTGAACTGATTTAATTTCAACCCAAGATTCAGGATAACTTTCTCCTTGAAAATTAAATATCAGTATGTTAAACTCTTCTTCCTGTTGTTTTTCTTGTCTTCCCCTCTCAGAGACAAAACATCGGCTAGTAAAGCCAGGCTACTTAAGAAACATGAAATACAGAGCTCCATAGGTAATTCCTTCCATCTCCTGGGCTGAGGGATTTGGATTGATTTGGTCTCTGTGGCAGTTCTTTCCTCTTTTGCCTCAGTGTTTGCTTCTGGCCCATCCAGCTGCTGTGGCATTCACAGTGCCCCCCGTCAGTGCCACACTGAGTATGGGGCAGCAAGGATACTTGTGCCAGTACTTTGCAAGCAGTTTTCTGAAAAAGGCTTCCACTCTTCCACCTTTCTGCCATTGCATTCAGCTGTCTCGAGCAGAGGGTGAGACAGCTGCATCTCAAATGCTGCTACAAAGAGAAGAGGGAGGTACTTGGCGATGGGGAGACAGACCTCAGGAGCCCTTCTATAAGCCTTTTGTGAAAATCTCAGTAAAAACTGTCTACTGAGATAAAATTGACACACAAACCCAGGGTCTTGCTGCAGTGTTTATATAAACAAAAAGAAATGTACAGTGTTTATAATTTCAGAAAAAAATATATATAAAGCATGCTTTTTCCTCTGCACTCTATGTAAGCCTTATCACAAACTTTAGGAACAAAGTGTTGCATAGATATACCAATAATATAAAAAATATATACCAGTGCTTTGGAGTGCCAGGAAAGAGGCCTGCATCCAAACAGAAGGGAGGTTTGCAATCCAAGACACCACATGTTGCCACCATTAGCTGCTTTAAGTTATAACATTTCCTATTCTTTTGACGCATAAAACGCTATTTGTTTTCTTTTCAGCAAAGACCAGCATATAGGCTTCCTATGTTTCCAGTAATGAATTTCATTCCTGAGAAGAACACAGCAAAAGGATTCTTCTGTACTTGAAATCATGCTATTGGTGCAAGCAATAAAATAGAAGTATAGTTATTTTTTACCTTGGTGTCACCTATCACAAAATTAAACAATCATCATGCATTCAGTCTGTCAATTTTGTGGGAGACACAGTCCTAGCCTAGGTCCGGTGAGTGTGCGGAGAGCTTCCTGCTACCCTGCGCCGGCGGGACCAGTCCCAGCCCAGGCACAGCATGGGCCTGACCCTCTCCCGCCCCCTCAGGCCGCCCCCCACCACTCCCCCGTACGTCCCCACCCCTCCCGCCCAGTAGGAATTTCTGCCGA